CCATCGATATCATCAAAAGCATCCGAGAAAGGATGCGAATTGCCCAAGATCGGCAACAAAGCTATGCCAACACACGAAGGAGAGATCTCGAATTCGAAGTCGGAGACTCCGTATTCCTAAAAGTGGCGCCTTTCAAAGGAATTATGCGATTCGGGAAAAAGGGAAAATTAGCACCGCGATTTATTGGCCCATTCGAAATTCTCGACAAAATTGGTACTCGCGCCTACCGACTAGCCTTACCACCCAACTTATCCAATTTTCACAATGTCTTTCACGTTTCGATGCTTCGAAAGTACATTCGCAGCCCCGACCACGTACTGAAAACCGAACCGGTCGAACTGAACCCCAACCTATCCTACGAAGAGAAACCTTCCCAAATACTTGATTTCAAAACCAAAACCCTTCGAAACCGAGACCTTAAATTCGTTAAGATCCTTTGGCAAAACCATACCCCCGAAGAAGCCACGTGGGAACGAGAAGAAGAAATGCGCGAGCGATACCCCGAGTTGTTCAGGTAACAATTTTGGGGACAAAATTTCTTTAAGGGGGGGGGATTGTAACACCCCACCTTTTCCAAAACCCGAAAATCCTAAAACCCGAGATTAATATTTCTAACTCGAGAACCCTTAGGTAATATTATTACGTGAAAAAAATTATTATATGCATTACGTGAATTCAATTATATTATTACGTGAATAATTACGTGCGCTATTATATGTGTTATTTATATTTTCGTAAATTGAAATTCTAGGAATTTCATGAATTACGTGATTTATGTGAATAATTGCGTATTTTATCTAGTTGATAAATCACTTAGTAAGTTATGTGGAATATATATATATATATATATATACATATATATGCCTATATATATACGTACATACATGCATGCATACGTATACATATATATATGTTAATACTTGCATTATACACCTAAATATACACATATATATATATATATATATATAAATATATATATATGTCCGAATTGTGTGTGTGTGTGTACTCGGATTATGTGTGTGTGTGTGGTAATTATGCAAGTTGTGTTTATTTTTAATAAATTAATTAGTGAATAATTGTGCATGTTATTACACTCCCCTCTCTCCACCGAAGCCATCACCACCATCATCGGCTCTCCTCTCTCCACCTCACTTCATAATTTCCAAAGAATTCCCAATATAACCATGATTAACTCTTGCCTTGGACTACTCCAAGAACACCGTGAAAACCACCTGCCTTCTTACGGGAGCCTCCCTCCTTGAAGCTCACACCATCTCCTTCACCATCAAGGTGGCTTGGCTAGACTTTGGTGCTTGAAAGTTTTTCTTCCTTTTGGCCATTTTTTTTCTTCGATCTTAAGGTAAGAATTTCCGATTCTTGCTGCAATTAAATGGCATCAATAGTATTGAAAAGATTTTTTATGAAATTTTAAAAGATTGGGAAAGATTTCGAGAATTTGGGGCTTTTTGAAGAAAAATGGAAATTTAGTGTTTCTTGTTAAATTCTTGTTCTTGCATGCATAATCTATGTTGATAGTGGTTAGATACAGCATTTATTGGCCAAAAGCCTTAACAATTTCAGATTTCAAAAAGGGGTTTTTCAAGAAAATGAGATTTTTAACTTTTTGTGGTTGCATGTGTAGATCTTCGAAAGTTTGGGCCAAATCTGTAATTTTTGTAAAGTTTGTCCGAAAAAGGTTTTTTCAAAACTGATTTCCAGCATTTATTGAACAAGATTTTCGGATTTAAAGGATTTTTGTAAGAAAAAGTTGATTTTGAAGTTTTAATAGACTTGCATGTGTAGATCTAGAGATTTTGGGGCAAATTATGCAATTTCCGAAATTTCTGCATAAAGAGACCTTTCAAATTCATTTTCTGCATCTCATAAAGTGGAATTTCAGATTTGTTAGGGGTTTTCAAGAAAAAGGTGATTTTGAACTTCTAGTGTGGTTGCATGTGTATATTTCGAAACTTTTGGGTCAAAACTGCAATTTCTGAAAAATCTCTCATTTTTAAAGTTTGAATCTGTTTTTCAGCAAGTATTAGATAGGAAAAAGTTTTATTTAACAAGTTTTTTAAATTAATTAGAGATATACAAGAGTTTTGGATTTTTAAATTTAAAAAGGGATTTTCCTGAATTTTATTTCAAGAAAATTCGAAACTTTGTGAAACTTTAAAATAATTTCAGAATCTGGAATTTGAGTCAGTTAGGAGTTCTAGGATTTAACTTGAGAAATTTTGGAATTTATTTGCTAATATTTCGAAATTTAGACATTATGCATGTCATTTAATATATTTTGTGCCTTAATGCTTCTATTCTTGATATAATGGTGATGAATGATGGATTATAGTATTTGTAGTACTTTAATTTCGGTTGGATGTGTTTAATGGCTGTGGAAATTGATTTGAATGGATTATTACCTAGATGTGGTAATAAGTCCATTAAATGAAGGTAAAAAGGTGTTTTGTTCTTGAGCTTGCTTTGATGAGTAATTAGTGAAGTTTAATGTGTTGATTGTGCATGTGTGTATGCTGAAATTGTGTGAAGGTGTGTGTGCTGATTGTGCATGGTGTGTGTGCCGTGTGTGATTGTGTATTTATGTGTGTGAATTTGGGAGTTTTGCCCAAATCATAAATATGTGGTAAATTGTGGTATTTGTGTGATTTGTGATACTTGATTGACATTTGTGATGTTATGTGTGGGTCATATGCATAATTTCGAAAAGTGCATTAAATGATTTTATTTGAAAGGTTAATGGAATATCGGGTAATAAACAACTCGGATATAGTGGGCCGGTATCCAACTAGGATGATGTGGTAGTGGTTTGATTCCACTTAGTGAAAACGGGCTCGTAACAGGTTTATTATTCGGTACAGAAATTAATCTTTCACGGATCCGATAAACCGAAAAGTGTGTTTTTCATGATTTTCACAAAAAGGGCATTTTAGTCATTTTTGCATAATTACGTGATCTTGTGAAATGATGTGCTTTCGTGAAATAAGTGATTTGACCGATTGCCTTGTGTTGTTGTGCGAAACGTGGGTAAGAACGGGTATACTCTATTATATATATTATATATATAACGTATTTCTAAAGTTTGATAATACTCGGATTTCTTACTGAGCTTTTTTAGCTCATATAGATGTCTTTTAATTGCAGGTAGTAGTAATCCTCAACCGGGATGGATCGAGTAGTGGATCGAGGTCTTGCCCGGAGTTTTGGAAGACGTACGAGGACCTATGAACGAATGCTAGAATTTTGGTTATTTCTTTTGATGGTGTAACCCTAAAACCGTAACATTTCCCTTTCGTACTTTTGAACTCGTTTTTCATTATGAATCGTACTTATTTCCCAGCTTAAATATATTAAGTTTCGTAAATTGCTATTTTCATGCCTTCGTTAGGAAACTTCGGATTATTCACCAAAATAACCTTTTCGAACTCTGATTTATTCTCGAACCGAAAAGAACGTTTAGTGAGAATGTAGCACTCGAATAAGAAACCTCCTTTCGAAATTCATTTCCAACCGAGATTTATATTCGGCTAAATCAATTCAATAAAAGTTTTCGAAAATGCAAAATCTTCAACACCCAAAGAAACAAAGTTTCGATAATTGCATTTTCACCCCATCCCAACGTTTCAAAAATTACAAAGAGATCCTTTGCTTCCGCTACTTTAGTAAGAAATTCCGATAAACCGGTTCGATTTATCGCCCGACTAGAAGGGGGGTGCTACATATATATATATATATATATATATATATATATTATAGATAAATATTGTATCATAGGTATGTATATCTCCTAGTTCCCTTGTGTAAAAGGTTAGGATTTTCACACATGTAATATATATATATATATATATATATATATATATATATATATATATATCACAATAAAATGAGAGATAATTGTTCTCTCTTCTCTCCAAATATTTACCTTCTATCATATTTATCTATTACTTGAATTTTATAAAATCAAATATATTTAATCAAATATCATTAATTACTTTAAATTACATAGGCCTCGTTTAATTATTAAAATGGAAAATTACAGCTTTATCCTCAATACAATTACTTAATTTTGTAAGACTTGTTAGAAAATTCACATATAATAACAGAATCTAACAAATTTAATACAACATGTAATTTATAAAGAACCAAACACATTATTAACTAATAAGTTCGTTTTTTTTTTTTGAGAGAAAACTTTGGACTAAATTAATCTTCAGCTCCATAGTATACAATATTTTGAATCACCAAAGGAAGATTCGGTAAAATATTTGGACCCTTAAGTGAAAGTCGAGCTACTTCATGAGCAAATTGATTTTCTTTAAAATTAATATGCCTAGTAGAGAACCCATCAAACCAGCCCTTAGCAACAAGAATATCTGCAATAATAGTCCCATGGATTGGTCGATCTTCTGTGGCACCATTAATCGATGATATTACAGTACTTGAGTCACCTTCAATAATATTTTTTCGCCAACCTTTCTCTCGTGCAACGATCATCGCATAATATGCAGCTTTAGCTTCCGCCGACGTTGGATCACAACTCTGCAACAGGAAATGTGACGACCAACCTACGCATTCTCCCGTATGAGACCACGCCATTATTCCGATACCCACACTTCCCAGCGCAACCAATAGGATATTAATCCAATCCAATTTAATCCCATCTAATCCGATATAAATAAGTAAACGAGTTCTACAAAACAATAAAACACACACAAGCTACATATTACTTTCATGCCCCTGTGATCTTCTTGTTCCTTTTCATTTTTTGTCATAATTTTTAGTTTTATATTTTTGTTTCAAGAGAACAAAACCCTACTAGGAATTACAAGTTGAAACTCTTGCTAATATAAAAATCATTAATTAATCTTCCACTTCACATACAATTACATACTGCAAATTAATTAAATGAAATACACAAAAAGTGTTATATATCGCACAAAATTTCACACACATTGTATCTCTAATTAATTATACTCCGATCGATCATGAAGCTGAAGATAATTCCTCCACGGCGACCCGATATCGTGACCGACGACGAGATTGTTGCCGTCGAATTACTCATGATGCTTGCTTCCGGCAAAGACTTCTCTTCGCCACCATCCGATTCCCAAACCACCAATTACTCCCCTGCCGCCGCCCCCAAAAGAAGTGATGCCGCCTCCGATCAGAATCGCCCAGTTATTATTTGCAGAGCCCACGAGTGTTTAATATGTCACAAGGTATTCTTGACGCGGCAGGCGCTCGGCGGCCACAAGACCACTCACCGGAAGACGATCAAGTCCTCACACGGCAGCCCCCCTAGCAACGCCCCCACCCCCGCCCCTGCCCCAAAGACCGTGATCGTGATCAACGATAACATATCTCTGAAGAAGCGAAAACGCAACAACAGCAACAACAACAACAACAACAACAACAACAACAACAACAACAACTCCGATTCCTCGGATCAACACGTATCACGCGAAACTTCGACTTTAATCTCCCACCGGAGCCTGAATTTTCTCCAAGCGCGGCGTTATCTGATCTGCTCAATTTCTACGGCAATTATATAGTACAATTTTGTATCAATTGGCTTATTAATTATTAGCACTGCAGATTAATTAGGGTTCATCTATTCAAATTTCTTGGTCACTACTTCAATTTTGTTGGTAGTATTTTTTGTTTGTTGTTTTAGACTTATATTTTGTAACCGCCATAAATTTACTTCATTTAAATTTTGTAATTATAATTATTGATATTATTCCATCGTTCTTCAAAATAATTATTCAAGAAGTGTTGATCGATAATGTGGTCCACTAGTATATGGCTTTTTACTACGATCATTAACCGTAGCAAACGGTATCAAATTCGTACTAAAAAGGCTTTTGCTGCACATTTTCTACAAATTTGTACCGTAGCATATACGGGCGTGACAAAAGTTTTGCTATGGTAAATGGCCGTACCAAATCCTTTTTTGCTACTGTAAATCCTAGTATTTACTACGACATCAAAATTGTTCCGTAGTAAAAAATACTTTTTGTTACGGTTTTTTAACACCAGCAAAAAATATCGTAGTAATAAGCAAATTTTCTACTAGTGGTCAGCGATCGGCGCGATTGATTAACGGTGGTTTTTTCATACGAATTTGTTAAGTATTTCACATAAATGATATAATTCTAGGCTCCGTTCGATTACGACATAGATTGGATTAATGTTGATTAAATTAATTAAATTATATCATAACTCGGAACTAATCTATCGTATTAGAATGTAGACTAAATTTGTTCGAACGCGATAGTAGATCGATGTGATTTTTCATAACGTTGACGATGACGACTTCAACATATAAATGTTATGGTGTTTTATTTTTTTTTTCAGTTTTTTTTTTTTGAATTCACAAGCACGAATCACTTTAAATAATCGAAAGTTTATGAGATCATACACCTGGTGAAAACAAATAAGGGTTTCATTAATCGAATGGCATGTAAGAATGGAATGACTTGCTCCTATATACTAGGAAGTAGTGAAACGAAGCTATATCTTCGGAGGAACTATTTATAAGCAAGTGCTCTTATATATAGGGTTAGAGATATATTACAACTCAAATTCCATAATTTATGTTTGACTTTGGTCAACTCTAACTTCCAATTTAAAATTTTGAATTTTTTAGGTCAATTCATGTAAATCGTATACATACTCTAATGTTTTCCATAATTTAGAAATTATTATTATTATTTTATTGTGGGTTGAACAGATGTTTAGTATAAAGATTCCAAGTCTAGTTCTATTAAAACTCTTGTTAATTAATTAATTAACTAATTATTATAAATTATTAATTAATTTTCCTAAAATTCACACATTAGAAATACACACACAAAACCCTTCTTTCTCGCTTCTCACGCAATACTTTCACACACATTAATTCTGAAGAGAAGATCATGAAGGTAAAGATTCTTCCACCACGGCGGCCCAATCTCGAATCCGACGAGATTTCTTCCATCGAAGCCCTCCTCATGCTTGCTTCCAGCACCGGCAGAGATTCTTCACCACCGTCCGACTCCACCGCCCCGACGACAAGAGTAAGTCTCCGATCCGAACAAGAGAGGCAAGAAAATTTACGAGTGTTCCATCTGCCACAAGGGTTTGTCCACCGGCCAAGCACTCGGTGGCCACAAGACCACTCACCGGAAGAAGATCAAGTTTTTCTCACGCGGGGGCTGCCACCCCTGCAATGCCGCCCCAACCACCATCTTGATCAAAAAAAACATCTCTTTGTTCGGGCAAAAGCATAAATACGGCAACGACGAAGGAATAATAATAATAAAGCGGAACGATGATTCTAATTATAAAGATTCCCGGCCATCTCTCTCCTCCCCCGGAGCTACCAGCGGAGTGAGCACTGATGAAGGCGGCGCATCCACTGTTATTTGGATGTGTGTATTTCGAAATGAGAACGAACAAAATTTGGACAGAAGTTTGAGAAGAAAAATGTAGTCTTTTTTTTTTTTGAATAAGAACTCAGTTCTTTCTCCTTAAGACAAATTTGCCCCGTACAGTGCTCTCGGTTTACGACAATCGTCTTCAAGGTACAGCGACTATTTCAGTTCCAACAAAGTAGCACAACAATTATTGGAACACGGCGAACAAAACGACGTTTAGGACTTTATATGACACGAAGGAATAGGAGTTGATAATTGCAACAATATGCAATGATATGCTATGATGAGAAGTGAATTCAATTAATGTATTGAATTCCATGTGAAAAATAAATGAATGATTCAGATGGTGGATTTTGAAATCTATTTATAGATTTTCAAAGATTATGACCACAAGTCACAATTCTTAGGAAAATAATTTCATGAAAAGTTATCTCACATTTTCTCATTAATTGCACACATATTCCATTTAATAGGTGCAAACACATCCATCTTTTTTAATGGTGACATTTCACTTTATTATTTTCCACACTTAAATATTTTTAAATAATCCATTAATTTATCATTCATCAAAAATTAATTTTGAGAATCTAAATTAAACCACTTAAATATTCAACAAAAAATGAGAACAATACTCAAAATTTCCAACAATACCTCACATGAATGAAATTAATGCATGCAGACACATTCAATGTCCAACCGATTTGTTATTGCATCGAGAGAGGTATCTTTTGGCTTTGAACATTCCCTAGTAAAATGTTGTTGGATTTACTTGTTGCTTAGTGAACACGATGTCTTGAACTAATCAACTTTTATGTTAACCAAGACAACGACACTTATACAATAACATCTCTAACGTCTTTTGTTCTCACGCTGTGTCCATTTCGACATTGGACCAATTCTTGGATTCATATATAAGTGTTTCATTGAAGCGGCAATATACTTCACACCTATATAGGTGATCTCCCATAAAGAATACCCTACCGTATTCCACCTTAAAAGGTCATAGGAATCACAAAAGTCACTAGAGTTAACCTCACTTTCGACAGGTAGCACTTGGATTTTAGGGAATGGTATAAATTATTTCCAAATGCTCGATTTGATTTTCCATAACTTAGTTTTCCCATTGAACCAAGATCTTGGGATCTCCAATCTACAAGGTTGGGTTACCATCATGAATTTTCGTTTGAGTTATGGGTTTATAGACCCATTCCCATCACTAACTTGCACAGTTAATCTCTATTGATTCCTTTCGTCAATGATCAACCAAATTATCTCTTGACTTCGTAAAGTCAACGTTTATAATTTCACTAGAGATCAATTGCTAAATGGTGTTATGTCTAAGATCGAGACTTTACCATTTTACATATTATTTTGTGCTCTTTTGTATAGCCAAATGACTACTACAATTATTTTCAAGCACCAACTAAGTCCATCACATAATGTCCTTTAGAAAATTATGGAGTTATCCAACATTTTTCTTTAGCTTCCAAGTTATAACTCGAACTCCATAGTGAATCCAGTTATATATACATCTTTATTTTGAGGAATACCAAGATACAAAATCATTTATGGACTTAGTATCTTAGTAGCACATATCCAATTTGTGTGAATTTACTTTTCATGTACAATTGGATATTTTCTATAATGTAATTTACGTTTACATATAGGATTACTACTAGACTTTCTTAATGAGTCAATCAACATGTAGTTCATTAAACTACAATCTCTTCAGGATTATTTTAGTTGAACCATTGTTCACCATTATTCTTCATAACATTATATTGATGACTTCAATATGAAAACATTGTCTCAACATAATGAGGCTTCAATAATTCCTCAAATCCTTATTGATTTTATTCTCTTATAAGATTGCATCAATATTTTCCAAATTTGAAATATTTTACTAATATTTCATTAGTTTTCATGATAACACCATGATTATACCATGATTAACATGTCATTTACTCATAAACATGTACGCCTATGTGCACATATGTTGAGTGTAGATTTACGCTCAATACGTTTACTTTACGTGTATCTTTTGTTTAGATTTAATTATATATTTGTGCTTTAATTGATTGATTTTGTGTCTTATAGGTGAAAAACGAGAATTAGGTGTGCATGAAGGAAACAAAATCAAAAAAAGGAAAAAAAGTTGCAAATAAGGAAATAAATCAAATTGGAAAAAGGAATCCCGCCACAACTTTGGCAGTGTCCATCCACCATTTTGAGCATATCTCTCTGATACGAACTCCAAATCAGCTGATTTTGGTGGCATTGGAAAGCTAATTTCAATGGCTACAATTCGTAGTCACGCAACATTCCAAAATTCGGACTCCAATATGGCGAAAATCGAAGAACAAATCCAGTTAGGGGAAAGTGGCGGAAATTGATTCCTATTAGGTTTCCACTACTTCCTTATCAAAAAAAACCTATAAAAGCAACAAGTCTCTACACCATAAGCACGAAAATTTGACACCACAAAACGCGAGGAACGAAGATAAAAGAATACTCGAGCATAGTTTTTCTTATTTAATTTATTTATTTTATTTTCTTTATCATAGGAATCACGAGTAGCTAAGTCTTTAATTTCTAGGATTTTATTTTAAATCCTATGTGGGATTTATGAACCCAATTCTATGATTTTATGCAAGTTTTAATTCGAGATTATTTCTTCTACTTGTTTTATTAAGTGCATGAATTTGATCACCTTATGTGCTTTTATGTTATTGTTAATCGCATGAATCGGAAGATCGGGTTAATAATTAGAACTGTGGTAGAAGAGCCTTTGTGGTATTAACATAGGAATATAGTTAATCTCTTAGGTAGCCATTATTGAAATTTGTGCTTAATGTTGTGTTCTATAATTAATTGCGTAGGAATACAGTAATTGAATCTTGAGTATTAGAATCGTAATACACGCAGAAGTGGGTTATGATTAAATTAGCATCTCAGGTTAATAATCCGGGTTAATTGCTTGCATAATTGAAGGTATTGAGGGAGTAATAATCACATAGGGGGAAGAATAAAATCCTAGGCTTGTTTTCTCTGATTAATCTTCGTGTTAATTGCTTTCGTTATTTTTATTGTTTTAATTTAGTTAATTTAGTTAATTTTCTCTAAATTTAACTGTGTAGGGTGGGCTTGATAACAATTGGTAGGATTTAGCGTCTAAAATTAAATAATTAAACATTCTCTGTAGGATCGATACTTGGACTTAAAAATCCACTTTATTACTTGTACGATACGTGCACTTGCGTGTAGGTATTACCACCAACAAGTTTTCGGAGCCGTTGTCGGGGGATATTTTAATTATTTATTTTATTCTATCTCTAAATTTGAAAAAAATTCACGACTCACCCAAATTAATTTTTATTTTTATTTTAATTTTTCGTTTTAATTTTTTTAATATTTTTTTTTCTCTTTGGTTACATGTGAGGTTACAATTTTTGCGCAACTCAAACGGGATATGAATGGCTTCCGTCTGGTGAATACCTCCAAAATACCTATGATATGCCGTTATTTTGTTCAATATGTGGTGGAGATCATTACATTAACCAATGTTGGTATGCACCGAAGGCGAATAATTTCATAGATAATACCAATAGAGGTTATGGGAACACATACACCAACACGCCACGAGAACCCACTATTCAGGAGTGTTATTTGAACTCCATCCTTGAAGATTTTATGAAATCCACTCAAGCATCAATCCGAAGACTAGAGCTACAGTTGGAAGAATTCAAGTTGCAGAGGTCTCTTGAAAATATTTCAGACCATATC